GCTCAATTGGACCAACATGCATGCAGTGGGACCTAATGAAGACTTGGCTAGGCCAAAAAGTGGACAACTGCTTTAGGCTGCTGTGGAAAATCTTTTAAGTGTTTTGATAAACATCTACCATAATTAATTTATGGATTAATGTTGTTGGAATAATATCCAGGTATAATGTTTTGAGTTGTTATGGTTTAAAATTCCACACAACCCCTTATAATATAATAATATAATCTCTTTAGCTATATACTGTAATGATTTGGATAAATATTAGGTGTACATTAATGCTGTTTTTCTAAACTGATATAACATTTTTAAGATAACTGCTTGGTTTTATCCTTCGGTTTACTTTGCTTTTTTTTAAATGATATGCCAAGCTACTAGCAATTTCTAACAAATCTATCTCTTATTACTCAATGTATGGAAAACTTTTCCCTGGGTTGATTTTCTAAATATATATGTATATATGACAACTGTCTTTATAACAAAACATGTGAATTCAAAAGAAAAAGAAAAAAATTATATTTATTGATATGAAAAAATCCAAGCATATGTTCAAGCTTGTTCAATTAATAAAGCTTACAATCATGTCATGTCAAATTTGAGCAAAATACAGTAAATAAAAAGGTCAATTCAATTATTTATACAACCCCCACACTACATGTTGTCTCAATAAACTTTATAGAGACAATAATGTCCAATCATAAGTCCAAATGCTACTGGAACTGTTTTTGAACTTTTTCGGAATGACTATGACCTGGATAACTGAGAATCTTCATCAGCATGTTGCACTCCATTTTGGGAATGATACCCTCGGAATAACGTGTGAGTATGAGAAATTGCTTAGGAAACTTGCAGATTATAGGAACCATCTATGTTTCAATTTAAGAACAATGGAACCAAACGACCCATTCATCGGTTTTCATGTTTGCATGTTTCCAAACAATACAAGGCTTTGTCTATATAAAGACTCAAACTCACTGCGGATCCAGACATTTGAATTGAGAAAGCTTTCTGGAGGGGAAGTGAAACGTCTTCAAATCTTGGAAACCAAGTCCAGTGGATTGTTTTTTTTTACTTATACGAAATGTTACTGGAATTTTATGGGCTAATTTAAAACAAGGAGCAATCAACCCAATGTAGCTCTAAAATAGATCTATGGACATCCTCTGCATGGGAAAGTAGTTGTGTTGTCTATCTTACTGTTACAACCCTTTTTTAAAATAGTTATTTGGTTGATAAAGTCAAGTGTGGTTTAGTTAGTTGACTAAGTTAGTTGCACTGTAAATAATTCTAAAATAATTTTGTATAAATTCTTCTAGCTTAAATAGTTGAGTTAACATAACATAGTTCTGATTTTTGAGTACATTCAATGAAACATTTAGTTTAATCCGAATTGTTTGCTTATTAACTAAGCCTGACTTAAAGAACTTAATAAAATAGTTAATACTATTATTACTACTATTACTGTTTACCAGTAGGTCTGCGTGAGGTTGATATTAGATAGAAACAGAAACTTTGAACAGTTAAGTTTTCATAAATGTCAAGATATTTAATCTTAAACACTAAATAGTGAAATATCCATCATTTATACAATTGTTGGTTGGTTCTGTAATGCAGAATACTGTATTATATCTAATGTACTCTAATATGAAATTATTAATTAGAAAATTGGAAAATGCATGTTTGTAAGGAAAGTTACTTGAATGTAAAAGTACGTTAAAACGTGTTATGCTCACGTTATGTTGTAATTTGATTTATCTAATAAACTTAATAGTTTAAGTTCATAAATTTGGCTGTCACGATCCTCAAATCACTTAACTCTACTTATGAAGTTTTGCAGTCTGAATTCCCTCCTTTCTGAGTAAACAAAGCAAACTGGTTTTGATTGTTTTTTTACTGGATCCTCTGGTTAAACCGTCCAATTCTCCTCCCGTGCTTCATTTTTCCTTCTCTGACTGCCATCATGGTCATGCCATGTCTGCACTGTGTGGTCCTACTTTAACCCACACATCACAAACACAAGCCTTATTCCTGCTGTATTAGATTACTTCGATATGAAAGTTGGATTTAAACAGAAAATCAGAGTAATATCATTATGATAGAATGAAAGATTTATCTGTTATCTGGCTTTCAAAGGCTTGTAATAAGGCTGGAGGGTATGCAGAAAATTGGTAAACTGGGTTGTATCATTAAAAACAATAACCCTGAATGTCTCTTATACTTATCTAAGCATTTATTTTTAAAGCTTCATATCTTTCAGCACATCAACCATAATCTCTAATCTAGGATTCATCCAGGTTTGATTATGGTTAAGTAATTTCTTCAGCCGCCATTCCTCTTTCTTTAATTACCTTCACTTGCTGTGGTTTTGGCACCACTGCAGCAGATGGTCCCGCTATCTGGATAGAGATTATAACAGTGGAGACGCGGATAATCTGATCACATTGTGGCCGAGCAGTCAACACCAGGCGGGGGTGGCAGGACGACCCATGATGAGTCGGCTCAGCCCTTTGCTGCTCTGTTGGTGCTGGCTAATATCCTGGCCTTGCTTTCAACCCTGGATGTGGATCAAACAGAAGTTACATCATTTTGATTTTTGATTGAGAACAGTCGATATGATTCATATAAACTTATTTAACCAAGATACAACAACTTATGTAAGGATGGTAAAACCCATTTCCCAGCTTCCCCCCAAAAGGAAAAGCCAGAATCAACCAAGGAAAGAGGGTAAATTTGCTTATTGTTGTGAGTCATTTTAGGACTAGCTGTGACTCCTGCATGATAAATAAAGTTCAGGAATAATACAATTTTCTGGTGAAATCTAAAGACTTAAGGCATTTTGTCAGTATTAAAACCTGGCGCTAAATATTCTGTGTGAGGGAAACGTGAAAACTGTTAAAAAGGCAACCATGAGGGATAAAAACATCACCTGTTTGTCATTTTTTTAACCATATTTCATACTCATAAGCTCACATTTTGTTGCCATGTCCAGCCTGCAGATAAATAAAATACATTTACATTTAAGACAAAATGGAGTTATTTATTCATTTTATGGTCTCAACTACTTTAGGTCTCTGTAATGGTTGCATGTAATTGCCTTTTAATTTTCAAAGATCTTAATTTAAATCCTGCTGTTAGTCTTTGTTTTTCTTATTCACAATTCTTACCAGTTGACTGTTGGAAATAGATGTAAGAAATGTTATCTGTATATGTCATCATTTGATCAAGAGCTCGGACCCACATGCAGAGAAACAGAGAGACCAGGGAAAAAGATTAAGAGGTTTATTGAGAAGCTTGTGGAGATTCCATTGTTGCTCTGAATACTGCTCAACCGGAACTGAAAGGTGAGGGGAAGACACTGCGGTTAGTTCAGGTTCAGTGGGAAAAATTGATTCTCGAACTTGAAGAGGAAAAAAGGTTTGCAGACTCACATTTCCAGAAAAGTGGTTGACTCTTTGACTCCAGTTGGTGTGGGGTGTTCCAGTGTTTGTCTGATTCGGTGGAGGGTGGACAGGGCTTACCCAGAATGCGGTTGTTTGTAGGAGAACGGAGAAACTGAGTGCCACTCAGATTTCCTGCAGTACTTGAACAGACTGTGGTGTACATGAATCCCTTGCTTATTGTGAAACTCAAACGATCCCTTGGAGAAAAGTGGATTCAAACCTCCAGTTTGAATCCCCAGCTCAGTTTGAGGCTCAGTTGATCCTTCCAGGGAGAGAAGGTCCGAAGCGTCCAGTTTGAAGGATGACTTCCCAAAACTGGCAAACACGCTGGCATCGAGGTAGTGGCAGTCAGCAGCTTAAGAGCGCTCCGTTAATGACGTAACCCTTTGCAGGTGTGTGAGGAAGGTGAATCAGGACCAGGCGCCGCCTGGTGGAGGAAGGAAGACAAACATACAAAACACAAACCACACGGACAGGAGTCCTAACAGTATATTCTTATGTGTATGCTTACCCTATATGGACATTCTCATGTCCTAGAGATGGATGCAGGAAATCACATCAGCGTAGTAAACAAACACAAACCAAATCAGAACAAACCCAATGGTCCATCAAAACGCAAAGGAACCAAGTACAAAAGATGTATAACAATGATAAGAGGTATTTATAACAATAAAACAGATGCATGAACAACTTTTTACAGACTGACTTCATAATTTTTTTAGTTGATCTTATTTTACTATTGACATGCAAATGCAAAAAAAAAACAACAAGAAATCTCAGAGGCGTAATCTCTCGCAGCAATCTATGTGGTTTCTGTAAGTTTCCTAAATGGCCTTTTGAAGACCTTTTAAATGAGTTTGTAGTGGATGTAATAACAATGATTTTAAATATAAGCCAACTTCATCCACTTATAACCCTCCTGTCAGGGTTTTGTTTCCCCATAATAGAACAACTATCCTATTGTTCTGAATTGATCATTTACAGGCTAAGCATTTTCAAAATAAACATATCTAAGTTTTTTTTCTTTTTTGTTTTTGAAAGATTAAACCAACTGTGCAATTTCTGAAAAAAAAAAAAGACTTTTTGTAATATGATTTTAGGAAGCCTAGGAAAAGTGCAGAAATCAAAGCCTGGTTCAAGACTGAGTAGAAAATGCAGTTTCCAAACCAAAAAATTAAACCATCTTAATGAGGCAGGATTTTCAAAATAAGAGAGGAAATCTAGATAAAAAAAATACAGTTTTATAATAGATCAAACAACAAACAAATATAATAATAAAAAAGTTAAAAGGCACCATAAAATCTAATAAAATATTACAACTTTTTACTGTATAAAAAATAAATACATATTTTGTTTTTTTTTTCATAAAAAAAAATCTTCACTCTAGATTTAGTAGAATAAAACATTCGTATTACATATATGAGATCTGATTGATATGTCTTAATTGTATCTCCCTGAAAAAGGTGTCATTATACTGTGACGTGTTTATCCTCTTTAAGACAGCTGTCTGGATTTAGATAGTGATGACCATAATCTCATTTGGCAGCAAAGCAAAGAAACTCCTCTAAGCACTCTGCACAAGTTTAACCCTCAAACGCAGGAGCCGAGGAATAAAGGCCAAGGTTTCCACATCTCTGAGCAGGATGGGGAACACGAAGAGCAGCGCCTTGTCGAAGGAGCTACTGGAGGAACTGAAGTCCAACACCAAATACAGTGAAGCTGAGCTCTGTGCATGGTACCAGTCGTTCCTGAAAGAGTGTCCAAGCGGAAAGATCACCAAGGAGCAGTTCGAAGGCATCTATGCCAGCTTCTTCCCGGGCGCCGACCCCACTGCATATGCCCGGCATGTTTTTAGGAGTTTTGATACAAATGCAGACGGCACGTTGGACTTTAAGGAGTATATTGTTGCTTTGCACCTCACCTCTGGAGGAAAGACTCTGCAGAAGCTGGAATGGGCCTTTGCCTTGTATGACGTGGATGGCAATGGAACCATCAGCAAAAGTGAAATTCAAGAGATTGTTAGGGTACTGAGGCCTTTAAAAACTAACATTTACTGTTTAATTTCAAGCACTAAATATTTAATGAGTAAAGTAAAGATTGGAAATACCAGCTGTTTTATTATCTTTTTTATAGTAATAGTTCTAATTTACTGCTTTAACTGAGAGAGAATGTTGAAAACATCTTCTGCTCTTTTCCTGTAGTCGATATTTAACATGATCCCTGAAGAGGATCAGCAGAAACTCCCCGAAGATGAAAATACTCCTGAGAAGAGGGCTGAAAAGATCTGGGCGTTCTTTGGAAAGAAGGAAAACGGTGAGCTAAATTCCTTGAAATGAGTCTTTCTTCACTCTGTGGCTGCTTTTAGATGAAAACAATCTCAAAGACATTTGTTGTTTACTCTGCAGATAAAATCACAGAAGGAGAATTCATTCAGGGCGTGATGGACAACAAGGACATCCTGCGCTTGATACAATACGATGAACCTCAGAAAATCAAAGACAAGCTGAAAGAAAAGAAGCAATAGTTCAGGAGCTAAAATCACCTCCTCTTGTGATATAAGACTTTATTACCCATGACTTTATGTTTTACCTTTTTACTCTGCCTGTCTGAGCTACGTTTCTTTTGTGAATCTGTTTTTAACTCTAGGGGCTAGTAAATGGGTGATTAATGAGAGGCAGCCCTCAAATCGCCATTAATGTAAGAGCTTTTATTTAAGAGCTTGTAAGAGCTCTGTTAGTTTATGATGTAATTAAAAGTGAATATCTTTGTGTCTCTTGACATCTCACTCAATTTTTGCTTTGCTCTGCCTGCCAAGATGGCACCAACCAATTAGAGATTGGACATCTACGTGCTTTTTTTTTACTCTTTGGTTCATTCATTAGCCTAATTGAGAAAAAGTCAGAAGGAGAGCTTCTTATGTTGGGAATTAGGATCATGTTAACAGTCCACCTGCATCAACCAATCCAATTAAAAGCTGAAGGTCGGTTGAGACACTTGTGTATTAATGTATGTGCTACTGCATCCAGTAAGAACAACAGGGGCTTGACTTGGAGGAACAATAAATTGCTTGAATCTGTATATTTTGTCTTTGTTTCAACACTCATCAAACTAGTTTTCTTTTAGTTTTACCTCACAGATAAAAGCTGTACCAATAAAAAGATGTTAGAAGGATTGCAACATGCAACAATGCAAAGATAGTGTGTGTTTTTTCTTTTTTTACATTTAGCATTAAGAAAAAAATTCATAAAGGAATTAATTAAAGCAATAAATTTCTCTTGCTTATAAAGATATTTTTGAGGTTTTTTGGAGTTTCCCTCTCTTTTGTGCTCCACCTCTGGTTACCATGACAACTATAAAAGTATTTTGTTGGTGGTGAGGCTCTTTTTTGGTGTCTTTTATTAAATTAAAGATTATTTGATGAAATTTATCTGCAGCAAATAAAACTATTCGACACCTCTGGAAATCAAGCTTTTACTCGGACGCTGCATTTATTTTTAAATTAAGGAAAAAATAATATGCATATGTTTAAATATACTATAAAGTAACACAGTTTAAACTTTTCCCCAAGTATTTGCTTCACTTGCAATATATGAAATGATCTTTCAGGTTAATATACAACACTGGTGTGTATTAGTGCTTCATGAAGGAAAAAACTCACCTTTATAATCAAAGCGCCATTTTTCAAATAACTTGAGCAAAATTCAAGTACCGGTAATTATGTTTGGACCAATAGAAGAGCAAAAACAATTTGGACACACATTCAAATACTTCAACAAAAAACCACTGGTGAGGCCCAGAACCTGGGTGTAATGATGGAATCAGACACATAAAGACAGTAACAAGATCGGCCTTCTATTAGCTGAAGAACCAGGAGGTCTCTGGTGCTGCAAGTAACAGATGAAACCTGTGATTCTATTTCACCATGGCTAAAGCTATTATATATTATTGTTATTATTTCTTCGTCACCGTTTAAGCATTTCACTTAAGGTATAAATCAGCCTAAAGGTAAATCAGTTATTGTGAAGAAAATTTGTACTATGTCTTCAGTACTGGGGCCATAATAGGGGGCAGGATCAGTTTTAAAGGGGCACTGACCCCTGGACAGAGATGGGAAGTAACGAAGTACAAATACTTCGTTACTGTACTCAAGTAGATTTTTCTGATATTTTTACTTTACTACTTATTTTTATGGCGACTTTTTACTTCTACTCCTTACATTTTTACACAAATATCTGTACTTTCTACTCCTTACATTTTAAAAAGTTGTCTCGTTACTTTAGTTTTGAATCATTTCAATGGAGTTACCGTTATTATTTTTCACGTCATCAATACCAAATTCAATCTAATTGGATGGGAATCTACGTTGCATTTGACGCACCACTACAAGATGAATCGACAGATTCGGCGGTATTCATTGGCGGCAAATCATTGCAGCTTGGTGGCGGTGGCGTTAGCATAGTAGCATGGACGACGAGATGATTGAAAATGAACACAACGGAGATCTAGTCCTATTGGCAGACATCCATTTAAAATGTAGGCAACGGCATGAAAAAAGTGGTTTCTACTTTTACTTTTATACTTTAAGTAAATTTACAAGCCTGTACTTTGTTACTTTTACTTGAGTAAAGAAGTTTAATCAGTACTTCCACTTTTACCAGAGTATTTTTTAACACAAGTATCTGTACTTTTACTCAAGTACGGAAAGTGAGAATCCTATCCACAAAGCTCTCAATGATGCTTCTCTTTAGTGCCTCTAGTGTTCAAAAAGTGTATTACAAAAACAGAGAAATGACTGTTAAGATTCTGTACATTATGTTATTCATATTTTATATCTGGAAAAAACAATATTCCATCATCAAGAAAAATAGGAACATATTTTGTCAGATAGCTTCTAAAGCTGGAAGGAAAAGAACATTTTGACTGACTCTGAAAATGGATCGTCGTAAGAAAAACAAAAACTTGAGTAGGTCCTTCTGAAACCTTTTGATCTCTTCTAAAAAAAAAAGTCTTTAGATTGAGGAGTTACAGGTTAATGCTTCTGACTACGTAAGAAAATATTTTAATCCGCCTGTCATGGCTTCCACAGTTGAGTCACTTATATGATAATGCATTTGCTCTACAGTCTTTACATTTCCTGACATATCTTTTATTTATGTTCTATGTTCAGTTATGAAGTAGCAATAACATTTTAAATGTCTGAGGAAACCTTTTTAGAGCTGTAATTAAAAACCCCTTTATTAAATATTTAACCCCCCCCCCCCCTATAAAAAAAAAGATCTATTTTTTAACTATTTTTATTTGATTAACAGGCGGCTTCCAGAAACTGAAGTATATTTACACAGGTTTTAAATTCTGGTTTGCTCTCATACAATGCATTGGGCATTTTCCCTTAAACCCACAATGCATATCTGAAAAAGCATTAAATAAATCAGGAGCTGATTTAACCCTTTGGAAGGTCTGGAATGCCATATAAAGCTGTTGCAATGCTGATCAGTAGCTTTATTTTGGCAGTATTCAAATTTGGAAGCACCACATACCCAGGTCTCCGAGGACCGGATATAACAATTAATGGGTTAAATGTAAGAGAGCTGATTAATGATAATTGGAATCAAGACATCATGTCTGCCAATTATAAAATAACATGAGACAGACCGGAAATACAGCCTCATGTTCCAATCCTCCAAATCAATTTTTCTGTCTGTCCCTCCCAGATTTATAACATTAATGTATTAGTGGTTCGTAATGTTCCCTCCTTTTTATAAGTAATACTGAATACAATAAATGTATGTTATGCTACATGGTAAATTTTCAGCACCTTTTCCCCTTGGATGTTTTTAATCCCATTTCTAAATCCAACGTCTTCCAGATGAAATATTGCTAAAATCCCAACTTCCCAGTAAAGTTACATAACTGCACAGAGTTCTTTCATTTTCAAAGAGGAGATTTATTTTTACACTGCATTCCTCAGTTCACGATTTGGACAGAGGTCACATATGATCAAAACATTCATAAAACACTGGGTTTAATGTAAACGTTCACCAGCAAGGTCAACCGTTACGTCATCTTCAAACTCTTGTCAGGAACATTTAGTTGGAACGTAACAACATTTAGTGCACAACACTGATGCACGACAATGAAACCTCTACAGCAAACACACTACCTAAAGTCTGCACATGTAGCTAAATGGGTCCAAATTAAAATGTTAGACAGTTTGCCTAAAAGAAAGGTTAAAGAAGAAGACATTTTTTTTGTTGTTGCATAAAATTGAGATTATACATTTATATTCCAGATATTACTTTTCAATTAAATGATTTTTTGGGGGGGCTTGTCATTTGATTTGTTATGTAATTGTCCTAAAATGAGAAAATCAACCTGAGACATACAGATCACAACCAAATGTTGCAGACAACAGACAAATGCACACACATAAGCACAAAGACAAACGTTACATGCAGACTCTGATCTGATGGGCTTTCATTTTTGAGGAACGGGATCAAGCAAATCTAAAGCTGCATAATCGAACTGTCAGCAAACAACTTGATCCTTTTTTTCCTTCGCTGCTTGACTTCGCCGTAAAAAATATTCCCTGCACATTTACCAAAAATAAACAAGGTTGTGTTAATCACACCTTGTCGGTCGGAACATCTGCAGATGTGCTAAAACGTTTCACAGCAAAATACATCTAAGCAGTATCTACAAATATACACTGATGCAGAGAACATATATCAAGGACATTCCAGGAATATAAACTGATAGGCACTAAAAGGTGCTTTAGTGTAACTTGGACCACCTTTTTTTTTCCTGCACACTGGATCCAAATTTTATCTGCCACCTGTTGGGATAATCAAATTTACATTCCAAAGCAGGGTTTGCTTCGAACAGCAAAGGTTACTGGATTTGGAAAATTTTTATGTATTTGTGAAAGAGCCTAAATCAACTACAGGACACTGATTACTTTCCCCAAATTCAATGAACTTCACAAAACAACTATTTTGACAGCAGAAAGGTTTTCGGCTCTTCGTGGATTGTAAAAGTGAAATACTTAAAACATGCATTTCCGATGAAATGAACCAGGAAAAAATATGAAAATATATCATATTCCTTGTAATTCCTCATTCAGTGTCAGAATCTGTATCTAAAATAAAGGTTATATCCATAAACAGGCTTAAGTTTTATTTACTTTTGTTTGGTTAGCACAAAATGGAAACAAGCTGATTTAAGCTAAAATTAAAGAATTTATAGACATGGATTTTTTTTAATACAATTTACAACAGTTAAACAGCAGAGTACATTTTATGGCATTCAGTAAGCTAATACTGTGTATGATAGGGGTAGAATTTTGAAGGAACATGCTGGTACTCTGATCCTTTCCTTTCTCCAAGACTCCAACTGCATTAAATCTTTCCCTCCTTGTGATTAAAGTCAGAGAGGATGAGTAGAGCTCAGGAGTCTGAACATGCACCGTCCACGGATCAGTGCAATCACAAACTTTCCAGGACTGTGTGGACGTGTCTTGATGCTGAAAGCAGGCCAGGTGATGTTCAGGTCAGGCTCGTCTATATGTCCAAATCCACAGGTCGAACTTCGCCGGTTTTGTTCTCTTTTACCCACAGCTCCCTGTCTTTGGCTGGATCCACGTTCTGCAGCAGCTGGTCAACCGGTTCCACCGTCTAAAAGAGGAAAACGGAGACAAATTGCAAAGATTACAGCCCTAATCCACAAAGTGTCATAATAGATCTTGATCAATGCTGACATGGAAGAAATCATTACCATCTATGGAAACTTAATACTAACCCTCAAAGATATTGGACTGAATGTGTCCATTTCTCCTACAGACTTTGAGATCTTTATTTTCAAATAAAATTAAACACTGAAACAAGTTTCTTTCAGTGTTGTAGTGCTACTGCCTCCCTCTAGAGGGTGGTAGCTTATTTTTGCAAGAAAAACTAATTGAATCAAATCAGTTAATTTCATCTTCCTGCTGAACTTTTGATCATCTTTTTGTCAGTATAAATAACATACAGAAAAAAACTATATTATAACTTCATTAAAAAGAAGTGGAAAATTGTCTGACAGTATGTCAGAGCTACATACACGTCTTTTGGTGATAGTTTTACTTCTCAGTTAAGTGGAAATCATGTTTCACACATTTTAATCAGTAACCTGATAGGTTGTTATAGCTTAGAAATATGTCTTAACATGTAAGAAAGAATGTGTTTTTGTTTATTAACTCAATATCTAACACAGCTGATACAATACTTTTTTTTTCATCATATGGTAGAGATTTATACCCCAGATGTTATTGAAAGATACCATAAAAAAAACACTTTTTAGAAAAATGGCAAGGTATCAATTAATCATTAGTGGACTGATCAGATCAATCAACTTTAGATTAATTCATGTATCAATAACCTGCATTTTGTACTTGTGACTGTTGAACAAGCTGTGCTTAAATAATCTTCTCAAGGCTGTTGCTCAGGACAATTTCTCGACCACATGTTTTCCTTCCACTTAACTTTCCATTGGACATGGCACTTTACGAACAGCCGATATCCTGAACAATGACTGCGAGCAGGACAATTAACAAGTCAATTGTCTTCATTATTACGTTGGGTCTATCGCTTCTGTTAAAATCATGTTTTAATAATATCTTTTGTTTGGGTTTTAATTAGCTCCAAATTCAAATTTTGTGTAGATTTAAACTATATCAGGGAAGAATTTTCCTTATTAATTTGTAATAAGGGAATGAATGATTCTACACATCATTTTATGATCTACTGAGGTAAACTGAAAATGACTAGAAAATAAAATGTCAATTGAGTCCTCTGTCTTCATACCAGAGTCATATTTTGGTTCCTCCAAATTGCATGCCCTAGTCCCTTCAGAGAGCCCTGTCACAGGCCCACATCTAACGTCTGGACTTGATTTCCTGTTGGGCAGCGTCTGACACTCTGCTGACTAAAAGCCTTCATTTATTTTACTAAAACCAAAAGTCTTGGACTATAAAGAAATACTTTTATATTATTTTGACACCACAATGAGCTTTCAGTTGTAAGGAGAGCCGATTAGTTTAGTACTTAATATAAATTAAATTCAGTAATTAGGAAATGGGAAAAAAAATCTTTGAGTTTTTGGCTGTTTTCTTTCCATAAAGCTTTAATCCTAAATGTTCCTAGAACCTGTTGTTTGCTTTAAATCATTAATTTTGACAATAGGCACACATGAGAGAATCCAAACATTACGCCTCATTTGCATGAAGCTGACAAGAAACATCTCATCACATCTGCAGGACTTACTTCCTGAATATCAAAGCTTTTTCCTTGGGGCCTGAACTATTGCAGGATATTTAAGTGCTAGGTGAAAGGTGGACGCTCGCTGTGGGCAGTTTTAGACACTAGTGCCCAAAAGTTAACTATTTAAACATGGTTATGTTGGACAATGATTATGATGATGCTTGGTTACAAAAACTATATTGAATGCAAAGTAATTTATTCTTCTCTTTCGAATGCAAAGCCCATAAGAGGAGAAATCAGCCCCCTGGCTGCTTTACTCAGCTTTCCTTCAAGGTCCTTTAAAATATCCTTGTTGACTAAACCCATATTTCACAGGAGGCATACATTTTAAAAGTAGAGAACCAAATTTGGCAGGATACCATTGCTGCTTTAGCGTAGGATAAAATATCTTTGGAACCTTCCTCAGTTAGGATTTTAGAAATGGCAGAACAGAGAATCCTGTCAGTGTGCCCCATAGCAGCTGTGGCTACAGTGCAGTGACGAGTTGTGATTTTCTCAAGCCAATTATTTGACAGTAAAAGACAAATTTGAGTCGATGCTTCATTCTATGAAGATGTCACATCAAGTTTTGGGGCGAAACCTCACAATTAAGCAGTAAACACATGCAAACTTAATGACATATGTGAACTCACGCTCTGGTTGAACATGTCTGTTTCGTGCCTCAGAGTCGTGTACTGACGCAGATGCTGCTGAATCCATTCAACCCGCTCAACCTCGAGTTTCTCCAGCTCCTGCAGGTGAAACAAGACAAGCTTTTAAGAATCAGTGCAGCCAGAAACAAAGATCAACCTTTAATACATTCACATACTGATCCAAAATGGATGTACAGTAATGGAACAAGCATGTAAACTGTTGACGGATACATAATTCATTTAATTTGCAATGAAGGACCAAATTATGTCAAAAGGAGTCAAAAGGGAACATTTTTATTTAATTAGTGGGTGAAGGTTAAACTTTATTCACATGTAAGAACAGAAAATGTAATGTTTAACTTATCATCATATAACAACAGAGGGCCGGATCTATCAAAGGTTTGCGTGTATTAAAACGTGAGCTATTTCACTGCGCACGCTAAAAAATGTACAAACTGATCTATCAACAGCGTGCTAAAAGGATTTGGTCTTTAAAACGTGCTAAATAGCGCCTCTTATCCATTTAGTACTTTTTCTGCAATGAATATTCAATATTGGGCGTTTACACGCAAAAGTGCGTCTTGTGGGAGGAGAACATGTAAATATATTAATTTAGCACTCGCAAAGTGATTTATTAAACCTGAAAGCAATTTTGCTAACGGTATCTGACTCTATATTTAACACGTTTCAAAAGAAGGTGCAAATGGTCTGTATGCGTAATTGCGCACACATAGCAGCGGTTATTGTTGCAAGAAAGAGACATGGATTTGAAGCAAGGAGACGCAGAGAACGCATTTTTTCACTCCGTGTGAATATTTTTGCAATGAAGGAGGAAACGATCATCAAAACATGTCGTTTATCCAGCATTGTCATTTTGGAGCTGTTGGGGGAACTCCGAATGGATTTGGAGCCAGCCACAAGGAGGACCCACGCAATACCAGATATCACTAAACTCCTTGCAACATTGCACTTTTTTGCATCTGGGTCATTCAAGCGTACGATTGCAGCGAGAGCTGGGATCTCCCAATCTCGTTTTTCAAAAGTGCTGTCCGACGTTCTAAATGCCATGTCGCCCTGACGCCCTACCGGAGAGAACCCCGACCTCCCGCCTTGCGCCTGTGGAGCAACATGCCAATGCTGCGGGGATGCATACGCGCAGTCATCTTATCAACAGTCACTTCTTGTGAGCCATTTGGTATGTGCATTTTTCTACAGGCCAATACAAAACACCTGGGTTTTTTTTTTTTTTTACTGCGGTGAAGTAGAAGCCACATACCACCTTAGGGAATAAAGGTTGCCAAAGTTTATATATATATATATATTTCTTTTTTTGGAGGGGGTGGGAGAAAATTTCTTAATGCACTAGTTTGCACAAACTACAAACTACTTTGCCGCAAACCACAAAACGCGCAAAACCATCATTTAAATAGGGCGTCTCCAACAGTTTTGCACCTGCCACTAGTTACGCAATCGCTCTTGTTAAATCACCCGCAAACCATGGTTCAGCCCCTCGCGCAAAATTCCAGTTTGCAAGCGCTAATTACTGCACGCAAAATTGGATCTTGATAAATCCGGCCCAGAGTGTTTTCAGCCAGAGGCTTTTCCAGATCAGCTGAATGACAGACCACTACAGGAGATACGGACTCTAAGCATCTACAACAACTTGTTAAGGAAATCCCTATAATATGGAGAATTTAAAGCAACATTTATTTCTCCTTTTGTGATAAACAAAGTGAAGTTGAATTGAACTGAATAAAACTTATTATAAATGAGAAATAGTTTGAATTAGAAGCTGTGTGACTTAATGTGAAAGCCTCCTGGACTTTCAACAGTACCATGCTGGTTGTGACCATTTCTTCAAACCACTTGGACTGGGTTTGATTGTAGAGATCCAAAGAGCGCATCAGATCATCTCCTGCAAACAATCCAACATAAAAAAAAAATACAGCTTTAATAATCATTTTAATTATTTATATCTATACGCTTCAAACAATAATCTCTTTTCTCTTGTTGCATTTTGGCTGTTTTTAATGTAGCCTGTAATGTCCACCAGGGGGAACCAGAGAATCATCTTTCAGAGAGTCTGACAGCGAATCAATTAAATGTATTATAGATTTACAGTGATATTCAAATTTTTATACAAACTTATATTAAAATAATTAATCAAAACATCAGAACAACTTGTTTTTATGCCTTTTTATGATTTTATGACAATTTCATTATTGTCATTCAAATCTGTTTGTTGATATTTTAATAGTAAGTGACGGCATCTTCTTTTACAAGTAAAACCTTAAATAAATGGATTGCTCTGATTAAAATTTTAATGTTGCAAGTTGAAATAAGGTTCTGAAGATTAATTCAAATTAAGAGAAAAAACAAGCCATGCCAACTTTAAGCCATAAGCCATTTAAAACGGCAAAAATACTGAACAAATATGTGTGCAATTAAAATAAATCTCTCAGTAAATTCTTTTAAAGAACTTTTTTCTATTCTAAACGATTGTTTTGTATCTTTCAGTATACATTCACATCTCATTTTTAATTCTATCACAACTAAAGATGGAATGAAGAAGTCTGATCTGTTGGGTTAACGACATTAAAAAGACTTAAAGAACCTAAATCTAAAATTTTACTTCATTATCATGATTAATTAAGTATTTTATTTGCTTGGATGAACAGAGACAGAAACAAAAGAAAAATCACTGAAGTTTATTTAAATTCATATATATCGGGTAGCCTACGCCTGAGGTTGACCTTGTTTAATTATTTGTGCTTCATGAACGCCATCGATTATTGCTCTGGGCTGTGACTAATCGCACCACGGAGAGAAGATCTGTTCCAGCAGAGCAAAACTACACTGAAAGAGGTGAAATGTCATTTTGTCAGCTTAAATATAAAGCAAGGATTTCACTTTACCTGGAATTAAACATTTCTCATCATTTAATAAATAATCTGAAACTATTAGATTCAAAGTAAATATCTATGGAACGTCAAAGGTAATTTTTTCACTACCGGTTTATCATTTTAAATGCTGTAAGTCACATGAATGTGACCTCATTACCTGAGTAATTTAAAATATGTGTGGCCAGCACTGTGGTACCATGAGTAAGGTTGCCGCGACAACGAATGCAGTCTACTCAGTTTTAGAACAGAAATGTTTGTGATGCGCAGGGAATGTAGTTATATGTAGAATGTAGTGAAATGTCTCAGATATTATATGGAGAAGATTTTATTTCAAGATAAACTAATGATTTAAAAAATAATAATTCTAGTCGGACTGTAAGTTATAATGAATAATAAATCCTGTCTGTGGTGATTAAATATAGTTGGACCATTAAATTTTACATTTTTGTTTTTATTCCAAGGTAAGTTTATACATATATGTAATTGTAAAAAAAAAAAAAAAACATAAATAAAAAAAAGCTTTTTCCAAATTGAAAAAATTCTGATTTAGCAAAGTATAAAACAGCCCTGCAATGGACTGGCGGACCATCCAGGGCGTACCCTGCCTCTCGCCTCTTGACTTCTGGGATAGACTCCAGTCCTCCCTGTGACCCCATTAGGGAATAAGCAGTTAGGATAATGGATAAAATCTGTTTATGATCAAAGTTATACTGTAGTTTTAATTTGTATGGTTTGTATTGTATTTAATTTGAAGGATGACGAATTGAAGTGTAATAAATTACAGCATTTTTTTAAGTTGATAAAAGTATCTTCTTTTTTCAGAGTACACAGTCTGACATTTCTCATAAAAACGTCATTTTGGATCCAAAGGGATTTATTTCTGTCACAGAAAACCTGACTTTGTTCATAATTTATTTATTTCTATTATAACCTATATAACCAAGATGCAAGATGCAGCCAAAGTCACTGTATGTTTATGTAGCAGCAAACTTCCCTATTCAAACCTCAGACCTGCTTGTGTAGATTTCCGTCGCGCCTTTTTTATGTCCTCCTCTGTCTTGTTGCTGAGTTTAATCTCCAGCTGCTGTGTCTTCACCTCCAGATCCTTCTGCCGGTCTGCGAGGGCTTTACGAGCCTGCATCACACACACACACAGAATAATACAATAAGAGCATCTCATCCTCATCTTCATCCTCATCCTCATCCTTAACCTTACTGTAGTTGTGTTTCTTTGAAAGAATGAATGCAGCCCCTTTATGCAGCTTATCCACAGTGAATTAAAAAGGCCTGTCATAATAAACACTGGGTTACAGTTTACTTTGGGTTCAGGTGGAGAGTTTGGTGTTCAGACATTTCCAGATTGTTTTGGGTAACTTTTTTTTTAACACTTTTTGCAAGAAAAAGGACACATTATGTAGATGTAGAAAATTTTTAAGATAGAATATGAAACAGATATGAAACTTCTTAACTAACAAAAGGTTTTGTTGTTTACTGAGATAAATAAATACAATTTTTTTCAGTTTTATCTAGATTTTATGTTTTTCAAATTTTATTTTTTTAAACTTCTTTAATACAGATTTTGTTGTTGAAAATTTTATTTTTTGAAACCTCTCTTTTTCTGATTAAATTCTACGAACTGAAGTCTTTTCAAATTGCATCATGTTCTCTTCAATGCAAGACAAATACCTATGCTTGGTGTAAAAACGCATCAGCCTATGAGAATGTAGCTAACATCCATGCAGACCAATAGAGAAAAACACAATCTAAAAAAAAAAAAAAACAATAAAGTTACTCTTCAATTCTAAAGTGTTTAATTTCTGCATAGCATTTCTTTTCCATATCTCCATTTTAAGAAAAATGTGTTCTTTGCTTCCAACAATAATAGAACAAAATTCACTCCATATGTCTGAGGTGTTTTTTCTTTTTACTTGTGCAATACCTAAACCACTAATCTTGGTATTAACAGAAACATCCTAGAGGACAACGTGGAAATTATAACTAGAAAAAATCTGACTGACAACAAGCAGGGTTTGGTCCTGCTAATGTTTGGGGGGGATACAGTAAATACTCAGTCTGCTGCCCCACATGAACTCTCTAGATGCACTAGTTCTTTTTCTCCTCCTGCTGGTGGAAACAACAGGACCCACATATGGCTGCCACCCACCACAAGATGCCATGAAAATAAAAAGTGAAAAACAAAAGCAGCTTCCATTCATGAGCTGTTTGAGCAGGTGGGAGGAAGAAACACAAAAACTGCGCCTTGACTGTGGGAGTTACAGAAGCTGTCACAGTTATGTCATCTCTCTGATGTAAACAAACACTGCCTTCTGTGAGTGTTTTTTTTTTTAGTTTTTGATGCATCTTTACCTTTTCCACGCCTGCGAAGCGACTTGCTAGCTGCTTCCTGAGATCAGCGATATGGTGGTCGTACTTTTTCAGATCCTTCTTGAAGTTATCGCATCTGAATGTCAGCAAAGGTTTTTCTACCTCTGTGTGCAGCTGCAGAAACAAATCATCCAGCTCTTAATACTACTCATCAGTTAGAACCGTCTAACCCATTCAGACCCAATATTCCATTTGAAGTAAAAAGACATTGTGTTGAAATAAAATGTCCTCCTGTTCAGCACAAATATTAAAGTATATTTTAGTTTGATTACTCATATTTTAATAAGTGTATTTTCATGTACAATACAAGAAATGGCAAAACCAACTGAGCAAAAATAGTCAAGAAAACTTAACCCTATGGAGGAACACAACCCTTATGCATTGATCAGGCTGCCGGCAGCGGTTGACGCCCTCAATATGGCGGTGAACGAGCAGGATCGAGAGCTGAGCCGTATGCTGGGTACGATTGAACGCAGGCTGGCTGCTGTGGTTGAACTCAAAGGTGAGATGGGATAAGATCTGGATGAGCATGCTCGCTTTAAGGCAGAAAAGCCCAACACATTTGGAATATTGGATTTCGCCATGAAAGAGCAAGCAAGAAAAAGATTCAAGGCTGAAGGAAATTCCTGTGCAGCCTGCTCTCAAAACAATAAGTGTTATTCTCGATTTGACCTACCCCCTTTATCTGTTCTCCCCTGGATGTTATGACGAAAGGACACAGAAGAACTGCCCCCCCACCACCCTACCCGTGAAACATCTGTGGATGCGCCCAGTGACTGTTGATAAACTTTGATCTTATCAAGGACATTAGCTGTGGTCAGTGTTCATGGACAAATTGAACGCACTCATCATACACACACAATAAATGTCTCAATATGTCAGATTGACTTCATGTGACTACGCCTCTGATGTGACCCCTCTGCTGAATTGTCTGTCTTGTGATACATGTGCTTTTCTTCTGCAGAGGTTTTTTGACATCTCAAACTGTATTCTGTCAAGAATAATGTGTGAAATATGCTTTTTTCCCCCCCTCTCTTCCCCCCAATGAGGCTCCTATCTTTCCACAGAGATAAAGGCAGCGCTATAGGTAACCGCCTGGGACCTTGGAAGCCAGGTAACCGGTTGGAACCTGGCAAACCATAAGAATGCGCTGTTCTGCTGAATGGCAGCATTCTGCAGCACGCAGCCTCAGTCAATCCGTTCCCCCCTCTCGGCCCCCCCACCCGAATGTATGTGACGTATTGTGATGAACGGTTGTACTGAAACTGAAATTTTGATTGCAATGTAAATTGTAGTTGACAATAAAGAAGTTTGATTGATGGATTGGTTAAAAAGTCAATGACTGGATGAAATCAGACAATTCTCTTTTGATAGAAAAACTTTAACCAATACGACTGACTGGTCTGACTGAGCTTACTCTTTTTGAATTAATAAACTGAATTGATTAATCAAGGAAGAGTTTGTTTGTAGTTAATTTGACATATTGTACAAACTGACCTAAAACCAAAAGCTCAATATATACAATAGTCTCAGGGACCTTTAGGGTGAATGAAGCTACATTGAGATTTCCCTGATGGTCAAAATAAAATAAGAGAACCAAGGAGAGATTCTGATGATTTGTTGATAAATCCAACAGCCTGATATTCTTTTGTTAAAAAAAGAATATTATACTTTCTCCTCTGTCATCTCTTAGATTAAGACCAGTATCTGACCAGTATTTGGATTTAAGGACATGAAACCTTCTATTTCTTAACGATAAAACTCCCTCTTTAACCTTTGAGTAGTAGTTTGTAGAATAGATGACCGTGCGTGAAGAATTAATGATGAGGCTGATATATTTCTCTACTTTAAAATAGTTTGTGTTTTTATATTATCATTTTGTTGCATGCAATAATTTCTGATTATTTCTTAAATTCATGGTTTCTACAGTTTAATACGACACTGTTTGATGAAGTGCAGCAATTTTTTGTTTAATAATGACATGTTTTTTTGTTTGACTCATGTTTATCTTTCTGAAATAAAAACATTTACAAATGAAGCTGAAACATTTTACTTTTAAGCAGTTTCTTATTAAACAAAAACAGAGGAAGCATCAGTTTAGAGGAGACAAATTCATTGCTAGCCTTTGTTTAGAAATAATTTTCTATAGGGACTGCAATAAACCCTCAAATGTCCTGCAGCATTGTTGTGCAGAATGAGTTTCATAAGCTGCAGCCAGAGCTCTGAATGCGGCTTATTAAAAAGTCTGAGCGAGACGAGCTGCAGCTTCTGCAGGCTTGATAGGAGTCCTGGTTCTGGTTCCCGACTAACATGGCACCCAGCCTATGTAGAGCAGGGGCGAGTCTGCGTTGCCTGGGTACAGGCCTGTCAGAACTAGCAGCTAATTAATTAGATGGAGGAGGGGCTGTTTCTGCTTTTGAAGCTTGTGCATGCTTTCTGCATCACTTGTAATCAGGTTCATTTTCCCCTGTGGGGGCTAGAATACACCTGAGGACGTGGTTGGATGGCGGATACACAATCGCCATAAATACTTTTCTTTTTTCTTTATTCTCGGCTGACAAAAACAAAACAAAAAAAGGCAGCTCCAATAGTGTTTAGGATTTTTTTAAGCAATCAGTATTCTTGTGGTTTAATATTAATTTCGTTTATTGGTCACAATTAATTATAGAGGCGTTACAAGTACTAAAGGTACAGCCTACAGCGAACGCATCCTTAAATTTCTAATCAACTGATTTCTGCTGCATAGGCGAGATAGCAGCACAGTGCGGCCCCTTCCCCAAATGCCGCTGCACACTGATGGTCAGGTGACTGAAACAAGGCTACCACATTTATCCCTCACCTGAATGCAAACTGTGGAATACCCATAGTGTTGTGGGGGATTTTATTCGAGTGTCTGGATAACTGGTCAAACTGGACTGGTTTAAATCCTATTAAAGGACAGGAAGTTTTTGTATCAGTAGGTGACTTTACATCAGGGACAACAAAAATCACGAGTGGTGTTCCCCAAGGGTCCATCTTAGAGCCCCTCCTGTTTAACACTGATATGATTCCCTAAACTCAGATTATAAAAATAAACAACCAAACAAAAAATTTTTTTAAAACATTGTCTAAGTTACCATAACCATACATGAAGACACACAGCTTTAATCCAGCTAGAAAACACCAATCAGGTTTTAAATCTGGGTGTAGAGATGGACTCAGACCTGAACCTTCGAATGCTCAGTAAGACAGGAACAAGTCGGCCCTCCATTACTTATGCACCTTTAATCAGGATTAAGGAATAATCTTTCTGGAAATAGAAAAACGAATTAATGTCTTTAGCTTTAGTAGAACTGATCTCTGCAGCGGTGTCTTCAAAAGACTGCCTAAAAAATGTCTCAGACAGCTGCAGCTGATCAGAATGCTGCTGCCAGCGTCCTCACTAAAACTAATAGAGTGGAGAATATCAGCTCAATTTTTCAACTGGCTCTCCCTATCTCAGAAAATAGGACTTAGAGATAGTCTAACCAAACATGAAGAAGCAGCATTTAGTTTTTATGTGACTAATGTCACTAATCTGAAATAAAGTCGCTGAAAACAAAGCTGAAACTTCTAGCTCAGATTAAAAACATGTTTGTTTTGTCATGTCATTTCTTATGTTTGTGCTTCAAATTGAATTAATTAAGAAAAAATCTTGTCTATAATCTGATGATAATTATAGAAATTTTGTTTTACCAACAGCAGGAATTATTGTAATAAAGGGAGTTAGATCATGTTATTGATTGCTGCTGGGACATTAAAAAAAAAAATCTGCAGAGTTTTACTCAAGGTACAATATCTTTTCTTCTTTTTGTTCCATCTAACTTTTAGAAAAAAATCTGAATCTAAGTGACTCTGTTAAAAGATGTTTTTAAGTTTCTTGTTTAACCAGTCAGCTGAGCTGAAGCAACCCAGAATAATCAAATATTACCTTGTTAGAGAACTTGAGGTGAACTTCAGCTTCGTCATGGAGGCTCTTCTTCAGCTGAGTCCAGGCCTCTCCAAGAGTCCTAGATAAAGAAAACTTAAGGTCAATAAAAGTAACAAAAAAAGAAATTTAAAAAACAGTCCACTGGACTTTTTATTCCAAGTTTGAAGATATTTTGCATCCCATGCAAGACGTTTTATCAATTCAAAATTTCAGTAATAGCTTTGAGTTTAAGATTTTATAAGAGCCAAACAAAGCCTTGTTTTTGTTTTGAAAACATGAAAATTGAAACGTACGACGGGGTCCACCCCGTTTCCAATGTGGGTCTTTTGGCTACTTTTGTTAACCTGCAATGTCCCATACCCGTCTAAGTGTCTGAAATGGGGACTGTTGAAGGGAATTGTTGGCGAGGTCCTCCGCTCTCCTGTACAGTGGCTGAGGTCGCATTGATAGCAGGAAGGGATGAACTCAAATGCTATATTGTAGGTGTTTGAAAGCTGAAACCTGAGTCCGCCCCCTCTGTTTAAGGTTGGTTTTTCTTTCTTAACATAGATGACTTCCTTCATACCCTCTCAAACCACCTGTCTTCTTTGTCCAAAATGTGAATATTCTGGTCCTCAGAAAAAAGTCCTTTGTCCATAAGGTCGTTCTTCTGTGCTGGGCCTTGCAACTGTGGAGACGTTTGGTTTCTCCAATATAAAGATCAGAGCATTCCTCATTGCCAATGAAAGTCAATGAAAGTTGAAGGTAGAAAAGTTAGAAAAGCAGAACTCCTGAAATGCAGCAGTGAGATTTCAGTTTTTTGCTTAAAACTGGGTGATGTCATCAATCCGACTGATCAGTCTAATGGCAGGAAGATTCTTTGGATTTTAAAGTCATTTATGAATACTTATCCTTGAATTTGTACCATGCACGGCCAAACGTTCAATCAGGATCCAGTTTGTTTAGAATCAAATCAGCTGTGGCTTAAATAAAGCAGTCATAACCACAGTAATTAGCAGATTAAAATCAAATACCGTAATATAAGTAATATAATGATACAGAAAAAAACAAGTCCACAACTGACAACTGAAACCAAAAAATGTAAACAAAAGCTCCAAGAGATTAGAAAAATCTTTCAGCAACAATTACCTCACTAAATGCTCCTAACTGGTTGAATTCATGGAAACTTGTTCTATTTTTAACCTCTGCTATTAAGTGAAAACCCTTTTGAGGTTTGTGCAAACAGTTTGATTTTATGGGAAGAACAATCTAATCGTTGGAGCGGTTTTTGAAGTCTGGAAAAAGTCTGTTTAAATGGGCTTTTCTTTAGAAGGCTTTCTGCTAATTAGCCACCCTGTTCTGCAGCGGGAGCTTTCGCTTTGCTCTCTGGATCCGTCTTCTGCACTCACCCTTCCTCCTGTGCTGCCAGCGGGCTCAGGGACAGCTTGGAGAGGTTTTTGGCGTATTCCTCCTCAATCTTTATCCTGAAACACAGAAATGTGAAGCTGTCAGCTTAATGGCAAACCAACACCTACTTTTTAACATAACCCGGCTGCTAATGAGTTTAACAGAGGAGGCCATTTTCAGAGCGGCTGTTCTTGCCTCTTTTGCAGTTTCTAAGAAGTTCATCCTGAGGGGGATACAGCCAGAGGAGACACGTTTGTGCCCTTTACATCCACTTCCTACAGCAGCGTCACATTTACCATCCACACCTGAATAACTACTCCATGTAAAGAAGGTCACCATGCTCATTCTTTGGCTTAATGTTCAGACTGTTACAGGTTACAGGCAGCGTGCAGAAACGCAGCAGTAAAGGTCACTCGTGAAAAGAAAAGTGCTTTAATTCTTACAAAATATAAAAATAGATCAGCAGCTTTCAGTATGTATACAATTCTGGATGCATTTCCTTACAGAATTAGTAGGAAGTGAAAAAAAAAAAAAGTTTCCTTTACAGTGGAAAGGACTTCAGCAATTACAGCAACTTTAATAGAGTTCACACACATTAAACTTGTTTTATATATTCATCTTATTTCACTGTTTAACTGGTTTTCTGGCTCTAAACAATCACAAAATAGTTGGTAAATGTAAAGTGGAAGTACAATTATTTAAAAACATAAGTTTTATGAAGTATTAGTTGCCTTTTTATGTCTATTTTCTCTGATACTATTAGATAAAATAAATGGTTTTCAGTTATTTTCCATGGGAAACAGCTAAAGTATTGGAGAAGTTTAAAGGAGGGTTAAGTTTTAAGAAAACATCCTTAACATTTGGAAATGTCACTAATAGAAAACACTGTTTCAGCTTAAAATGTATTTACCTCATGAATAATAAATGTGTCAGCTGTTCTCATACCTTTTTTCAGTATTATTCTGTGTTTGAATATTAGCACTTAATCCAGCCTTTTTTTAATATACCACACAGGAAAAATTGGTGACGAAACAGTGTATAATTCATGCTGATATTGTATTGAGTCAATATCGATATTGGACAATCCTCAAAGCTGCAACATCAGATCTGAAAACGTTGCATTCAAACACCACTAATGATCAAGGTTATGTCATGACTGCAAAAAAGATCCGATCCAGTATTGATATTAAAAATCTGTCCGATATTAGCCGAAAAATCAGATATCAGAATAAAATCTGAATTTGAAAGAAAGTTTATAGGAAAATTCTGTTTCCATTCAAAGTTGATGTAGCGTATTGGATAACAATAAACAGGTTGGTTGTTTTCATACTTATTGTTGCTGATTTTTGTTTCTCTGATTCATTAATATCACTTCTACAAAATTAGTAATATAGGTATGTATGATTCCTGCTGAAACTTGCATAAGAACTGCCAAGGGGTGGTTCCAGAAGCCCTTTACAGGTTGACCAGGTGGGGAACTATGTGCCCTTTGGGGCACCTGACCAGTTCAGGGTCAACATCCACTGATTACTACACAGCAGAAGCCTTGAGAATGGAGCACAGCTTCATCCTCCAGAGAGACTAACCCTAACAGCTCAGATTGAAGCCATGTTTTAGAATGGCCTAGTCAAAGTCCAGACCTGACATCTAGCTGAAAATCTATGGAAAGATTATGAAAACAAATATTCAAAGAAGTATAAGATATAGATAAGGAATATGAGCCGTGTATCGTTAGATGCATGCTCCTCTGTGTATTTCCGTTACCTTATATGGACATAATGTGGTCTGTGGATCAAGGCAGGAACTGCAAATCCTTCAATTTGGGTGAGATTGATGGAGCCTAATGAGGTGTGGCTTTCGTCTATACAGTAACAGCCATATAAAATGGCCATTCCCAGTCAAAAGCCAACTGAATGGCAGCCCTATTCCCTGTAACTCCCAGCAAAATCCCCTTGAACTTCCAGCAACTGCAGTGACCCCTTCCTTCTCCTGGGATTGCATATTTGTTTACTCTGACTCCACCCTTTTACTGAATTACTGTGTCTGACTAGGAGAAGGCACTTCTCTTTAGATTTTAGTGTCCATAAATCATGACAGAAGGAATAGTTTAAGAAAAAAATTTAGTACAAAGGAATTGTAGGGGACCAGCCAAGGAAAGTGAAATGGCTACTACTGTAAGGAGGGTGAAAACCCAGTTAGGAGGTCTCTTTCCTTCTGCTCATGAATGAGAAAAAAGCTTGAGGTATCATTATCAATTGTTCTGTTACTTAATTGTAATAAATTCTTTTAAACCTTAAAATGCTTTTCCCTTTTTGCATTACATGGAGATTACTCCCTATTTGAATAAGGGAACCCTAACCTGGATCAATCAGAAGCGTCCCATCAAGTCACACAAAGCTTGTTTTTTTTTTCTGTATAGAAAAATGAAAAAAAAACATTCTGTCTATATGTGCAAAGCATAAAAAAACCCTACAGCTACTGATACAGCGAAAGGTCGTTCCTGGAAGTGTTTTCTCAGGAAATTGAATCTTAATGCAGGACAACCTTTTGAGATTCAAAATACATTAAAAATAGCTACCTCTAGATTTAAATAAAATACATAGAGGTCAGTTATATATTAAAATGTTAAGAGGCTTTTAGGGCCTGATGTAAGGGACGCATAGAAAAGTTCATATCTAGAAAAGCCGCATCCCCATGCCCTTTAGAAACAGCCCTTTCGCTGATATGGAAATATTTCTTCCTCCTGAGCCCCACTGAGCCTGATAAGACAGATTTGTTGAATTAAATCAGCTAACAAAGAGCTTTTACCTCTCGTGAATAAACTCAGCCATCTCCTTCTGCAGCTGTTTTCCCTTCAGCTGTTTCTGCAGGAGAACCTCGAAGCCCGTCACATGGGTGGTCCCCTGGGGGTCCTTCTTGTCGGCCTGAGGAAGAGGAGCACATGTAATTTAGAAACACCTTGCCATTGATCGTGGCCATGGAGCGGTCGTAGAGCGTTTGAGAGCGTGGTGAGTCAGAAATGAGGAGAATGTATGATTCATCCTGTCAAGGAGGCCACGCGTTGGTGTTCACACGTCAGTCACTGTTAGGAGGATGGGCGTTTTTCAGAGCACGAGTGTCAACCCTGTTTGGATCATGAGTGGCAGTTTTGTGGTGCGTTTTGTGACGGGAGCGTGGGACAGAAGTGTCAGACTGTTCCACAGCAGCTCTAAGCAGCAGGTCAGCGAACCAACAGGAAGCAATGGAACGGCAACATCACTTCAGGAAAGACCTCATTTCAGTCAGAAACTGCATCCGTCCAGGTTTTCAATACAAAACGGGTTTTGAATGAAAACATAAGAGGTTAAATCAGATGCTAACTATGTTTATGTGAGGTAAATGCACATTTTCCTGTGTTCTCAACAGGCACAATCCAATTGGAAGCACTTTGATCCACATCAGACAGCACATTTACAGTAGTGGCATTGATTTTTGTTAATGATTCAAATAAAGCAAGGATGGTTGTAAAATTGGATTTTCAGGATTAAATTTGTCTTTTGAATAAGAAAAAAAGGTTTGAATCTGCAGCAAATTGATCTTGTAATTGTTTTCAAGTAGTGCTGCAGTGAGTCATGTTATGGATTAGCTGATCTGGAGAAAATGAATCTACAAGTGTTGGATTATTGGCTGTTCTCTTAAACGTCTCTTAAGATGAAACATGATGACATAACGACTTGTTACTGCTGAAAAACATGGATGGCATGTTAGTATTTCTACACAGCGAGACTCCTGTTAAAGCAATGAAATCATAACTCAATAAATCCTCCTTAGCTGCTATTATGATCACTTTTAGAATGTTTTCTATCTGTCTTAGATCACACACCTCTCTATATTGTCAAATATGACAATTTTTTAATGAAAAAAATTTTATCTTGAAAAGGAGTTTAAGATTTCTCCAGATTTAATCTGATATTTATATTGTGCACTTAAACTAAAGCACAGAATAATACGTTAGGTAAAATATTAAAATGCAGAAAGAAATGGTGACACTAATGTGCAAACAGTCCTGTTTGATGGAAGAAGTGTATTAGTTTATTGGTTCCATTATTTGTGAGAAAATAACTACTTTCTATATAGAAATTAGGGGGAAAAAATCAAGATAGAAGTGAAAATTGGCAGTTTTCTTAGATTTTACATTTTCAAAAAATGTTTTAAATTCTTGTCAGATTTTATTCTTTTAAAATTTCAGATTTGTCATTTTCAGATTGAGTTTTATGTAATGTGTATTTTTCAAATTGTATTTGAGGGATCATATTTCCTTTGGTTCTCGAACGAGGAGCGAAAGCAAATATTTATTGGTCTGCCTGGACATTACTGAGGGCATTTTTATTTGTCAGTCTGTGCGTTCAAAAGTAAGCATTTGTACTCAGCTTGCAGTAAGGAGAATGTGATCAATGAATGCAATTAGAAAAGCTCAGAGAAATTTGAAGAAAAAAAATCTGATAAAACAGCAGAAATACCTTAAGAAAATTGAATGGTTAAGAACTTTTTCAGTTTGATTTCTGGATTGTGTTTTTTTTTTCTCTCTCTCTCTCTCGCAAATTTCTATAAAAAACTCTATGACAGTGTTCTACATCCTGACCGGCCAAGCCATTTCCCACACAAATGTTCTCCCAGATTTAACTCTAAAAGTATTCTAGACCATTCAAAAGTTAGAATTTTCAGTCAATTCTGTTGATTTTTACTTTTTTTTATTGGACATCTCATTGTGATATTGAAAGTAATATTTTAGAAAACCTATAAATTAGAAAAGGACATTTATTAAATGCAAATGATAATTAACAAACATATGTATTGAATTTAAGCCTGTACACTGAACCAACTTAAAATTGCTCTATTTTCTCAGAGCAAAAGGAATCATTTTAAATTAGGCTCTAACTCTAATCTGATTTAAATTTATGTTTGTTCATTTAATTAAAGTAAAAACTATGTGATATTCTAAACCAAGAATTCACATTTACCACTTGAAAAGTATATATATTCTAAGAAAAAATATGTTATGCTTTTGTATGATCCAAAATTTCACTTTGGTCCAACTTTATTTGTTGACCAATGAGACAGGGTCAATAGTTTAACACAGTTAGCACCAAGGGGCCCTCAAGGACCATATGGGGTGTCCTCAGAGTCCTTCAGTTATGACTGAGATGAGGGCAGGAACGTAGATCGACCGGTAAATTGAGAGCTTTGCTAAGAAGTTTTCATTGCCTAAAATAAAACAAGAAATAAAAAAAGCCATAAAAATATGTTTATAATGTAGAAAGTTTGGATAAAAGCTGATCCTTGGATCAGTAGGGGTAGCCCTTCCTATGACTAAATACCCTTGAAGTGGCCGTAAGCCTTAAAAGGGTTGGTGACCCCTGGTTTAAGATACCGAAAAAGCTGAACCATTGATTATTATAAATAAAGCAATAACCAGCACAGATGTTTTCCTACTTCTTGTTTTTTAACAAGCATCAAACATGATTGCCTCTACATTTCAAAATTCTCTTCAAGATTCTCAAAGAAAATCTACAGCCATTTGGTTCACTACATAAATAGAAAATACCCCATGAATGTAACAGCATTGTTGCTTATTTTGTTGCAGTGCTGGCAACACCAATTTTAAAATAGTAATCTAAAGAGGTGCCATTGCCATAAGGGACGACGTGTGAGCTCGACCTGCAAACCTCAAATCGCCATAATAAGTACCAGCAGTTAGGACCTAGGACCAGGAAGCAGTATGCTTCCTAGCATTGATGCAGTTAGCATAAGGACTTCCTGACGTCCTTAGGTGCTACTAGAAGCAATATAATTGCCCAAAATCCTTTGCAAAAGGTACATTATTTGCCAAAGGAGAGCTTCAGCTGTTTGTTAGATTTATCTAACTTTGGTTTTCTGTAGTCCAAATTTGAACTGTGTCACTCATGTCCAATGCACAATAAGGCTGAAGGCTATCTGGACTCAAAACAGCAGCCTGGAGCGCCTTTCCTACCCTGGATAGAGTTTATACTGTTGACCCCATGGAAGGTAAAGGGACTAGAACTAGAAACAAAAGCCAGGAGCTTTCATTTTTAGGAATTCGGATCAAGAACTGGTGATTCGATACTTTTATCTTTGACTTGAAGTAATTATTTACTGGCAACTAATTGTTTCAGTTGATTTGGTTGCTTGTTTTTATATTCTATGTAAAAAATAAAGGTTTCAAACCAGAAATACAAAAATTATGTTGGAACAAGCAAGACTTGAAATTGACCATTTGAAATTGACTTTTATCTTTCTTCCACTTAAAGCTCCGATATGTTTGAATTAACAAGCTGTGCCAGAAAAACGTTTCTTCACATCATGTGTGATATTGATTTAACCGGAACACCTGATTTCTTCCTTCTAATTACTTATTTCCTTCCAGGTTTAACTGCAGAAGTTAGTCAGATTTTATCAGTTTCTCTGCGGCTGGGATGTTTACACAGGAGGTCACAGAGCTAATGTTAATTGGGTAAAATACTAAATGAGACAGAAATGAACAGAAACAGCTGCTGCAGATTAGAAACTTTTCAGTTCACTTATTCCCAGGATTCTATATTAGGAAAGCCCTCGTTATGCCAGAGCTGACATCCCTGCGCTCCAGAAAACTCACCCAGAAATAATCGCAGTAGCTCCATTCGTTGGGCTTGAGTAGCTGCTGCTCTGGACCTTCTCCAGGCAGCGGGAAAGTCACACAGTTTACCTGCAATAAGAGGACAATAACAAATGAAGTCTGAAGGCTCAGAGACATTTGAATGGGAACACAAAGCAAAATGTGAAAATGGGGCCAGTGGGCTGAACTTTATTAGGATCATGCAGATGAGCGCAAAAAGCTCAGATGTGAGTACATGAAAGCGATGACCTGACGGGCCTCAGAGGGGACAGAGAGGCACCTTTATCCCCTCTATTAAACACTTGAGCCACAGTGTTTCTGCTGATAAACATTCTCAGCCTGAATCCAGCCTCCTCACTCTGCAGCGTCTTCAATTACTCCCGCGGCTGCAATTATGTAATGTTGGCCATCTGTGAACCCTCCTTCCTGCCATGTGTGCCATGTCAGCCTCAGCCTTGGACGGCACGGGGCACGCAGGCAGGATGCTTCAACCACGAACGCACTGAAACACCCTGATTCATCGTGTTTACAGCCTGCGTTCGGCGCTGCGCTGCTGTCACGGTGCAATGGCGACAAACATCTGACTAAGCTGAGCTGCTTTCGTCTTTTTCTCTCATATTTCAGATACAGAAACAACATAAACAACAGCGTTTACTGGCACAGCTTTTCAAGCGTTTTGAACAACAGCGCATTGTGTGCTTCAAATGTTTACAGAAATGCTGGCGAGGAGGAATGTTGGGAAAAATGATATGTGAAGAGCTGGTTCTAATTTCAAAGAACTCATAGTGAGGGCATCAAAGCAGCAAAAACAAAAATCAAAGAGATCGCTTTGCCTCTACTGTGTTTCATCTACATTTCTTCTCAGGCTTGCAGAAATCTTCCCTTTGAGTGTTGTAGATTTCAGCTAAACATTTATTGACTGATGCATACCAGTCGAAAAAGAAGTACACATGCATCCCTCTTAAGAGCCAGCGTGCTGTGAAGACTATTTTAGAATTGATGTGATTCAAAGTGGAGTTTAATCTAAAAATAGTAATTTCACAGCCGCTTAATCAGATTTAACTGCAGACTTAACTCCAAAACATGTTTATTTTTAGCCGTTCTGAGGTGAACGTTCTGCTGGGCATTGGATCACTGTCCAGCTGCGTAACACTAGTGCCACTGAGCTTTATGGAAGAGAGGAGAATATGGTTCTATTAATTAAAAGAAATTGACCATATCCTGAGGCAGCCCCATACCATCATACCTCCACCACCACAATGGTCAAATATCAAAAAAACTGTTTTGTTTTTTTTATGAACGTTTTATTAGTTTTACACCAAGCAACAGGAGGTCCACTTTCATATCATCAACAGGATTTTGCTAATGTGAGAAGCATTTGTTCTGGTCTTGGAACCAGGGGCAGAGCTGAAAGGGGGGCCAGTGGTGGTCATGGCCACCGCTTGCCGATTATTGTCCTCCTCTCTGGCCACCCCTACCAGGTGATTGGTTGGTTCCGAGTCAACCTCCAGAAAAAGAAGTTTGAATTTTTAACTAATTCGAAATTTTAATTGTTAGTATATATTAGAAAAAATTACTTTGTTTCTTTTAGTCATAACATAACATATTCCATCCATCCATCCATCCATCCATCCATCCATCCATCCATCCATCCATTCAGCTTATCGAGGTCGGGTCACTGGGGTAGCAGTTTCAGTAAGGAGGCCTAAACGTCCCTTTCCCCTAGCCTCGTGAGACCATCCTGATCTCGCAAGCTTTCAAGACTTCACTCGCTAATCAGTCTGGAAACCCTCTGTTGAAGAAAATCAATCAGTGTTGGCTTTGAGGCGGGTTGAGGTGTGACGCAACGAGAAGCGCGACCGTTCAGTCTAAAGAACATGGAGGCTTCAGCCGATGAAACTAGCGTTAGCGTGGCTATTGAGCAAGTTTTATCGGAATTACAGAGTATTTCTTCATTGAAAGAAGAGCAAAACACTGCTCTGGAGGCTTTTCTCAGAGGAAAAGATGTTTTTGCTCTTCTCCCAACTGGTTTCGGCAAGAGTTTGATCTATCAATTGGCTCCTCTTCGTCGTCGCTCTGTTAGTACGTCATATGCTTCGTTGATCTGATTGGTTTATTTGGCCCGTCTATCACCAACATAGGCCAATCAGCTAACCAGTATTTTCGCCCCTTCCCAAAATAACTTCAACTGAAGGTTTCCAGATGGATATGCGGAGCAAATCCATCTGGCGGAGTCAGGTTACCTTTCCCCAGCCACACAAATAAAATTTTATTAAATTATTTACTTTGCTAAATTCAGCATGTTCTAAAAACCCTTAAGCCCATCATGTTATGGAACAATGATCTTGATACAAGAAGAAACTCGAGTCTTTAAGAAAAGGCCTGCTAATTAATTAATTGTTAGTCGATGGAGAAGATCAATCGACTTTAGACGAATCCATTACTTACATCCCATGTTTTTATTCCATAAAAGTTAAAACAATCCACTGGACTTGGTTTCAAAGGTTTGAAGACGTTTGGCTTCCCCTTCACAAAGCTTTTTCAATTCAAATGTTTTTATATATTAATACTTTAAAAGAGTACAATCTTTTGAAGTATTGCAGGGTAGAGCAGTGGGTAGTGCTGTTGCTTTGCTGCAACAGGGTTTTGGGTTTGATCCCCAGACCGGGCTCTTTCTGCGTGGAGTTTGCATGTTCTCCTTGTGCTTGTGTGGGTTTTCTCTGGATAATCCGGATTCCTCACACAGTCCCAATGCATGACTAAAGGGCAGATTATGCTTCTGCAACCGCACACATCAAATGTAATTTGGGTCTGGTCGTGAACCAGTTTTGCTGGTATGCTTCTGCACTGTTGGTCTGGAATTTCTAGGGACGCAATGCAGTTTCCCGCCAAAGTGCAAGGGGGAATCTATTCGAGAACTGTCGAGAACTTCGGCAGATGGTCACGAGAACTTCGCCGGTGGGAGTGTCTATCTTCCAAAACAACAATGGCTCTTCTGCAAGATATCACGGTCACGGAGATGGATCTAGAGTTGCTAGACAACGAAGAGAAACAGGATCTCTTAATGAAGTGAACCTCCTTGATTAACCTTTCATCGTAATTGTCCAATGTAGTTGTTCCTGTTTATAAAAATGGCGTGCCCCGGCACCGAATCGAGAAGGACGGCCACACAGACAGCCGGAAAGGCATACCAAGGACCAATCACGGCTGCTTTTTGTCTGCACAATTCCGCTTGAGGTCTTCGTGGATTCGCAACAGTAAAACGCGTAGTCAGGATTTTTTTGAGGTGCGCAACAATGCAGAGACAGATTTGACGGTTGCAGAGGCTATGCATCAGAAGCAAAAAAACTTGTACACCATGTTTAAATTAGGCTGTATGAACATATATATTTCTGTGGATATTTCCTGATAAGTACATAAGGAAAATCTGGCCAGTCTTCAGTGATTTATTTGTTAATGTGTTGCTGATATATCTTTACTGTTGGTTAATTGTTGATTGACCCTGAAATGGATCTGGTGCCTAAATGTTTATGGCGGATTATTAGTGCACGTTGGTCCCTCCCTGGCCACCCCTATGAAAACTGTCAGGCTCTCTCCCATGGAGGCCATTTTAACCCAGCTTAGGTTTTTACTGCCTATTTTTGACGTTCAATGTTAGCTTATGACTGTAGACCTTTAGATTTGGATGAGTTGCCATTGACATCTTTGACAAATCTTGGGAAGGATCTCCACTGTTCCCTTTTTTCTTTATCTGGGTCTGATGGTTTCCCATCTGCAGTCCTAAAGCCTTAAAAGTGGTTTTGTAACCTTTCCAGAAAAACTGTTGGTGACTTTGTTTTATGTATGTTGTATGATTAAAGATTAATCGTAGTTGATTTAACAAAAAATCATTTTCACACAGGACCATATTTATTTGGATGGCAAGGTACAGATTTATGTAGCACCACATGTGAAAGTATGTTGTTTGCATGATTAATTTTGGGCCACTTTAATATGTTACACAACTAAGCAGGCTCCAGGTAGAAGCAAAAGTAAAAAAAAGCTGTGATACAAGAAGCGAGTAAGCCAAACACACACAGCAAAAAAAAAAAAAAAATTGCTTATGGGGTTAAGTTTGCGATTCTGCAAAAAAAGTTACTATGTTGGAGCAATTATTTTTTTCCTGAAATATTTAAAAGGGTAAAAAAATTTATTTACCTTTAAAAAGCTATTGCCTGAAAACAAATGGGTTAACAATGGGTTGTCTGACGTGGACAGAACATCACACAAATGGTATGGACAGTTTTTCAAACATGATGCTGATACAATTTAGATGAGGATGAAAGCAGAACTGCAAGTTAAACGGATTAAAGTATCAGGTCATCCTCTCTCTATATGCAGTAGCACATAATTAATGATGTATATCTATAATAAGCAGCTTATTGTAACAGGAAACTTGATATTTCTGATGGGGTGATTCTGTCAGCTGCTATTTGTCTAAATGATAATATTTCACTATATTTACCTTTGACAGAATTAGTACTGATGACTTCTGGCTTTCTTGCAGTATATCCTCTGGAAACTTTGACTTTATCTGTAATTTTATAAATTTATACATTTATTGAATTTTGTACATTTATTAATAATTATCTCATCGGCTAATTATCAATCTATCCGCTGCTTTGTTCACACGTTTCCTGTTTGTGTGTTCTGCTGTGGCTAGATAAACATGAAAGAGTCTTTAATGTTGGATTGTGCAGAAAATGTACCTGCATTAGATAAGATCTAATTAGATCTTTCATCAGCTTTATGTGAACAGGCAAGAATCTTAATTTTTAGTCCGGCTTCAAGAAGGTTTTTGATCTAAACACTTTATGCAAACAGCTGAAGAACGCCTTAACATGCATTTGTTTTGTTTTTTCAGTTATGTGAATTTTTATATTAGGAGGAAACGTTGAGCATAAGCACATGCACAGCAGTAACCTGAGGGAGCAGGGGTGTTATTTACTCTGCATTCCGACCGTTCGCTTTGTTCATTTTCTGCCTCAGAGATCCCACTGATTGTCATGTGCACTAGATTTTCTATTACGCCGGCTCCACATCCATCACAAGCATTGTTTTCTACCTCTGACATCCCACTCAGAATGAGACCATTCATCTAAAGGGAGCCCGTCTGGCTAACTTACTTCTTTATGGTCGCTTAGCGAGGTGCTCCGGGGGTTGGGAATTAAATATTAATACAGATTACCTTTGTGACCCAGTGTGCAATAGATCGGCCTTTCCGAGGCCATTCTTGCTGGACGGTTAAATTTGGAGTCTGCTGAATGCTGCAGCTGGGTTTCATGTTTGAACAAATCTAAGTGCAGCTAATCATAAACAGAACTGTTTGGTGGGATTGGAACATTTTGTCTTCACTCAGCACTTATGAGCATTGGGCCTCAGGTAAGAGAGAGACCACTGCTTCCTCTGTGACATGTTTTACTTCTGATTCATTTATTTTCACACTCGTTATTTGCTGAATGTAGCAAAAAAAAAAAAATCCTGACAAAGTCGTAAAGGAAATGGCCCATGAGAAATGTAAAAAAAAAAAAAAAAGATTTCTTGGCAGCCTATCAAACAGCAATTTCTGAGGAGAAAATTTCAGCAGATGAGGGTGCAGGATACTCTACTACTGTTGCTAAGCGACAAATTACTTTTGTGGTAAAATATCATTGTGCCTCCTCCCCTCCCTTCCTCCACAAATGTACCTTCCAGTAACGCAGAGTTGACACGGACCAGTTTCTGGCTTCAGTGTAGGATCAGTGATGCTGTCATCCTGCTCGTCATGATGGATATATTTCCATTATCTAACAGAGACCACAAGGGTTTTCTAACCTATAGTAAACAGGCATAATATTATGCCCAGTAACAGATAAAGTGAATAGCAATTATTATTACTGATGTTGTCAATGGTTGGAATATTTCAGGCAGCTAGTGAACATTATGTCCTCAAAGGCAGGGAAACAGGCAGAGAGAGCCTGACAAGAGCGAAGCAGAGATTTCCAGGATACGTTCTGAGGTCAGCATCTACTTCATTAACTGCAGCTGGAGTAGCTAAGGAAGTCTGAGGTTCTGACGGAGAGGTGTAAGAAAAAACACAGCCCATCACTGTGTGGTTTCATTCAGGAGCACCCATGCTGATCCCCATCTGCTGCCAAAAACAGTGAGCACAGATTACACTAGATCTAGAGTAGATACACTAGATATGGGGACATTTCTTATAAGAATGCTGCTTCTTAATGTCACTTTTGTGTATCAATGGCCTTTCTTGTATTACTGCCCTCTTACATTTGTGCCTTACTTACACAGAAGTAACTTACACTAATTCATCCCAAAGGTTTTCTATCGGGTTGAGATCAGGACTCACACCAGACTCTGCCATCCATGTCATTATGGACCTTGCTCTCTGAACTGGCTACCAGTCAAGTTGGTAGAGGATGCGGTCAGCATGGAATTGTCCAATAGCATTTAGATTTCGTTTCATTGAAACACGCCCAGCTCCCAAAAAAAACACAACCCCACACCATAATTCCCTTTCCACCAAACTTTAAGCTTGGCAAACTGCAGTCAGACAAGTACTGCTGTCCTGACAACCACCAAACCCGGACTCATCCTTTACGTTTCCAGCTGGAGAAACCAGATTCTTCACCACTCTGGAGTCCAGTGGCAGCGTGCTTTACACCACTGCATCTGACACTTTGCATTGCTCTTGGTGATGTATGGCCTGCATGCAGCTGCCTGACCAAGGAAACCTTTTCCATGAAGCTCTCTGCAGAACATTGCTAAGCTGATCTGAAGGCCACATGTATTCTCTATTCAGTTTAAATCATCAACCAATAATATGCAGCTTTGTTTCTTCACTCATTTGAGCTGCCTCCTCCATGTGATACAAATATGTCAGCTTAGTTAGCAACAATCCAAAATGAATAAATTAATGATTTTATTAACAAAATCATTGATCTTGAGTGCCTTGACTAACTGTATTTCGGTTAACTAACTTTTTGTCTCCAAGTTTCCATAAATTAGACAAATTCAATACATTTATACCTAATATGGTGTGCATTTGTTTAATTACTGTTGCAGGTAAAGAAGATATTTTTTAAATGGATCTTTAAAAAATGCAAACCCTCATCAGCAAACGATCCTTAGCTGACAGTAACAGACTTGCGTTGTTACTACAGCTTGAATACTAAACATCCTCATAGTTTTGACCTCTGCTTTTTCTTCCCAAGGTATTGAAGACTCCCACCAATGGGGCTGAATGATCCCCAGCAACAAGTTGATCTGAACGGCAGCGAACGTCATATTCAACCGGTGAAACGGCCAGATTGGTCCTACACAAACACGCTGAAGGTGAAAACAAGGTTGCAAAGCAGCTGCTTCTCTCTGATGTGTGAAGAATCCTGCATGGGTCCATTTTGCCATCCGTCATGGATGTGTGCGTCTCCATGACAACTGTGGTTGGGGTTGTGTAATGTGAGTTGCACTGTGGTGAACAAAAGAAACCTCTGGGAGGGAGGGGGTGTCAGAGATTGACTCGAATCACCTGTTTTTGTTTTTTTTTTCTTCACCAGGCTGCAGGAACGTTTGATATCCATGGACTCTTGTTGTTCAAGCAGACATAAGATTTCCCCTTCCTTGTTCAAACAGCATGTCATCAGCAAACACCTGAATGTCTCCCCCCTCTTCTCTTGTGGTTGTTTTCCATTTCAACACCCGTTAATCGTTGCATTTGCCTTTGTCACCATGGAAACTGGACTTGCTGCCTCTCTCCCAGGTCTGGTGGGTTTAGATTTTTTTCCCAATGTCCATCCCCAGCGATGGTTCCGGATGTCAGGGTCTTACTGCCTGGTGTGAGACCCAAACCCTTACCTCTGTCTGGTTTTCTCAGCCCTTTAGAAGCTCCCCCATAATGGGCTAAGAGATTACATAACCCCCTGCTTCTGTCCGAGCGTCTTGGGACACAGCTACAGAACACCTCTAAGAAATCATAGTTGCAGGAGGATAATCTGAATGGTTCTAACAGCAGCATGTTTTCTTCCCAACCCAAACTGATTACATCTGAAGCTCTTTCATAGGAAAAACGATGGGAGGAATATAAGGATGGGAGAAACACTGATATCAGTTTACCTGACTGACTAAAAATACCACAAGGTCCTACTGCAGCTCCTTGTGCTTTTTTCCATTTTGTTTTTTTTTAAGTGAAAAACAGCATCTTAAAGGGTCTTTAAGGGACAAATTAATTTGTATTACCTGTAAATCTACCAAACATAACACAAATTACCAATTTTACTATAGTTTTTAAAGAACCATCACAACCTCAGGTGGAATGTCAACAGTTAACACCAAAAAAAACTAGAAAACAAAGATTGAGATTTGAGACTTTACTAAGAGAAGGATTAGGAATACTCACAGTGGTCTTGGTCTCCTTGACCTCATTGATCTGTCTCTTGGCCGGTGACACAGAGCCTGGAGGCTGCGGGGCGAGACAGGAGGGATCATCAAAACTCTCCTCAGTGTCAAAGCTGGCTTCCATCATCATCCCGCTCACCTCCTCCTGCTGCTTCTCTATTCTGGGAAAGCCTCTCTCCTCTCTATCCCTCCACACACACTGAGGCTGCCTTCCTGTCTCACAAGCTGCAGAGCGAGTGGAGAGGAGTCGTGTTGTGGGGAGGGGGGAGAGGGATGCTGAGGAGGAGGAGGGCTGCAGAGGGAATGTGACGAAGTCTAGCCTCCAGTTAAGATGCTGTCACATAAGTTTAAGGGCTGCAGGTTGTGAAGACTGAGCCCCCAACCTCACACTGATCCCCCAACACCTTGCCTTCACCATACAACCCCCCCGTAAGGAAATAAGGACCACTGAGCACCACTGAGGATGGAGATGTAGATAAAAAACAAGTGTTAGAAAAGAGAGTAAGGGGGAGGGGAGGGAGCAGTGAGGGTGTAGGTGTTAGGGCTGGGTTGGAGCACATGGTTTGAGAGGATCTTTAGATTGCTACTCAGTGATGCTACTTCTGACTGTTTGAGCTGCACACACTTCAAGGGTTAAATCTAATATGAAGGATCTAAAATATGCTCGATTGTTTGCAGCAGGAAAAGAGGAACCCCACACCTTTTTCAGCACCTGCACTGATCTAACATTGCAACCCGAACACCAAGGAGCGAGTGAGAATCTCACCTTCGTCGTGCAAAACATGGCGGCCAGCCGTTCCTACCGCCATATGTCCAGGTCCAGGATCTGTTTTCCGTGTTCCCAGCGTTCCCAGCTTCGAATCTGTCTTTGGCTGGCCTATTTTACTGTAAACTCTGTCATCTAGAGTCTAAAACTCAGCTGCCTGTTTGGCTTGAGTGTCCCAACTGTCCGTCCATCGATTCTCTTCCTTGTGATCATACGGTGTGGCCTCATCTGAGTCTGAATCAGTCACGAGGGTTGGCATGAAATCAGTTTTGGCCAAGGTTCATCTTAGCTGCGGGAGCGGCCCTGTTTGAGTGGGCAGAAACGCTACTGTGATCTGAAAATGTTTTTTTAGAGGACAAGCTGCTCTGATTATTTTCATGATGGGCCAACTATAGGTCATGCTTGTTAAGGGTTGTCAATAGTCATTATAATTTATCACTTTCACATAAGTGATGTCTGGCGGTAAAAAGCTTTTCATATTAGCAGCCCTGGAGTGAAACTGAGGATTTCCCCTTAAAAATGTTTCGTTGTGTTAAAATTATCCCTTCATTCAACCATTGCGAAGCTGCCTAACTCCTAATGCCTGGTATTCAAAATGTTCCTTGTATAAAAATAGTGCAAATTGGTTGTCATGTGCAAACCTGATCTTCAAACCAGGTGTGTAAAATTAGCAGGATATTTTTTTCTTTTTTTAGTTTTGCCTATTTGATTATGCACATCCTATGCTTATAAACAAATATGTACAAAATACTGGGTGGTGAATATGTAAATCTAAATACCTATCATCAACAAAGTGATTTCTAAAACCTGAAAGCGATTGCAGGCACAGTTTATGTTTGTATATTTAGTTTGTCGGGAAGTCTAGCGCAAACTTGTAATGACTTAAGGTCATTCTGGCAAAAAAGGAGGCCTTTTTATACTAACATTCAATAAGAGTTTGTGCACATGTTTGGACTGTTAGAAATACCAAGAACAGAATAATGTCTCTAGGAGAAAAAACTTTATGGTGAACAAATTAATTTTGCGGGTAGCAAGTGCTCTTTTAAATTAAATAAAAATAAAAACATGACTTAATCATTGCAGCATTTTTTTTGAAAAAAAAATAAAACAAAAGACTAAATTGAATATTAATCTCCACTGGAGAACAACCATTATGGAGCCTGTAGATGGGACATTAGAGGACGCAAAAAAAAAGTTCACTATGCTGTGTAAAAATTGTAGTAAGAATGTTTAGGTTTTTTTTCCTCTATATGTTTTCTTTTACAGAGCAGTACAAAACACATATATCTTGTATACATTTATTACTAGCCTACTGTGCTTTCCAATAATTTGGGTGAAGCGGGTGCTGTGAGAAGTTTGGGGAAAATAAATCCTTCCCCTTTAGTCTAATCTGACTGTGGCTCCCTCCCAGACCGTTTGTCTGATGGAGTCGGGGAGGAGTTAAAAAAGTAGTTTTTTTCATGTTTTATGATTTATTTTTGATCTTCTAATTGTCACGAATGCTGTGCCTCATACTGCCACAAAAAGGCAACAGTTCACCATTACAATGGTTTTAAATGGCAGGCCTGATCCTCCAAAAGGTTAAAAAAAACAGCAGCTAATTTAAGTCATGTTTTCTAAGGTATTAACAGGTTCAAACTAAAGTGATTGCTATAACTTTAGTTTGTAGCACTATGAAATAAAGATGAGTGAAGCAGAGATTAGTTCTTGTAGATTTATTAGTCAATTAAGGCAGACATCCAAAAATGCAAAATACAAAGAGCCAAAAAAAACATCAGGGAAAATGCACTTTAGGAGCCAGAGACAAGGAAGCAACTAACTACAAGGAACCAGCACTGAGTGACTGCAGAGGTGGAGTTTATAAGGGGAACAGAACAAAGGATGGACTGATGAGCTGAATAAGGAGCAGGTGTGAGTGGAACTAACTAGAAGAAAGCCAAGGTGAAAGGAAACAAGCACAAGGGGGCAACAGAGAGTAACTAAAGACTGTTTGAATATAATGGAAAATAAAGCAAAAATCAACAATAGAGAATAACCAATAACTGAACACTAAAAACTAAAATAACTAAAAAGTCAGAGTCCTAAAAGGGAAGGACAATGACGGTATCACACATAATTTGTTAATCTAGATGATGAACAACCAGTTTCCTCAGCTTATCAATTCAACAAGCAATCTTTGCAGATCATCACAACACTAGGATCTTTGTTAATCCGGCCCTCACTGTAGTTCACCGTTAATACAGTGCATTTGTCTGTGGTTCAAACAGTGAACCAGAGCCAAATTCAGATTACATCCTTATTGTTTGGATTAGTCTTGATGGTAGCCAAGGCATAAAGTTTAGCAGCACTCTTGAATATGTCTCTGTTGCTTTAGGCACAGTAGATTTAATTTGTATAATAGATACTTCTTCTTACCTTTCTACATAATGCAAGGTTCCTCAGAGGAGTATTAGTGGTGTCAGGGAACTTGCCATTCTTCGTTCTGCTGCTGCATCTGTCAGCTGAGAGCAAAAACACATTACATCAATACAACGGAGAGCCTATGTCTGACCTTTAAGCACAAACCAAAGGTGAGCAGGCACTGATCAACTTAGGGGAAATTATACAAAAAGGTGATTCAAACTAAATAATCAAATACAATATGCTATTCAAAATGTTGCCTAGTTCAGATACTTGATATTTGAATTATTTAGATTCTAACCTTTACAAAAAACAGAGGGAAATATTGTTATAGTAATCATTTGTAACACTTACTATTAAAAGAAATCCAAGAAGCAATGAAATATTTTACTTTGATAGTCTCTTCATTTTGCAAGCAGCAATGCTGTTTGAAAATCCAAAGCATTTAGTTCTATTTGTGATATACATTTGCATAAATAGAGGCAGACATTCTTGGCAATGCATGCATAATACATCATTTAAATATCAGCAGATTGTGTTGGTGCAGAGACTCTAATTGCTTGGTAGAGCTATTTCAGGTGCAATTCTGCGTTCCTGTTGATATTCAGTATTTAGAAGAAGCCAAGACTCTGATTTGCACACATTTAACACATGCAAATATCTGCATAAATCTGCACAAAAAGCATAGATGGCCTAAATAGCACAATTTAATGAACATAAAGACCAGTGATGAGGATTTAAATATGCAATTCTGGAAGAAACTGGGAGGTTTAGACAGTTCAAGTGATTTGATTTTTAACAGACGGTTACCAGATTTTCTGGCAGTAGCTGAAAAGAATTCGTAAAGGTTGTTAGACACAGATACACCTCTTAGCGTAATTACACAGCATCAGTAGCACGTCAGGAGTTAAATGGGCTCGTATTGGGTGTTTGCACAAGGCCAGGTTGTCTGATGCAATCACCTGGTATGCGGGACATCATTGTGGGCAGATGTTGGGCATGTGGGGGTATTAGGACATCCACTGATACTGTGTCATAAGCAGCACCATATGCTGGGTCCATATGCCAAGTGATTAGACAATACAGACAGACATTAAACAAACCAAACATTTCACCCTGGGTTACCTGCTGGGGATTCTGTCTGATCTCTACCAGCAGGAGCGGGTTTTAGGTCACTGGACCCCCTAAAACCTGATTTACCGTCCTCTGTGCCAGCGCACATGATTGATAGGTCACAGCAACAGGTCTCTTCTGTACATAGTGTGACTTTATACTGAATAACTGTATACGTTTTGCAGGACTAAGGAGTACAGCAATATGCTGTGAAACATACAGCATTTTACGGTCATTTCATACCTGTGATATTACAATGCATTGTAGTAAAGGTCACACTGTATACTTTAATGTTGCAGGCTCAGTGAAAAAGCAATTATCATAAAATTACAGGACATTACAGGACAATTTTGCTGTACATAATTACAATAAAGCAATGACTTTTGTAGTGTGCATTCTGAAAGTGATGTAGAACCTGACATTAATTTATGTTGAATTTACAATGAAATTTCAATTAACCATCAGGGTGGTAGTTGGGCTGGTACCTATCTCCGGCAGGCTATGGGCAAAAGGCAGGGTTGTTATATACCCAAGGCAACTTATTTTACTTTTTTCTTTTGTTTATAAACTGCAAATTATGCCCACTAATTTAATCTCCTGTGTGTTTATATGTACTTAAATATGTTGAATTTCGGTGACAAATTCCATCTGATTCAGGACCTCACCTAGAGGAAACCCATTTGTTTAAAACTGTCTTTGACAGTTGAATGTAAAATATTAACTGAGGTGTTATTAGTTTGAGGTTGTAATCCAACTGTTTTATTTGCTTTGCTTTTTCTGTCTTTATCTGCTTTTGTTCAGCTTTTATTTTTCTTCCATTCTATTAACAAATTCATGTCATGTAAAGCACTTGGAATTGTCCATGTACTGAATTGTGCATACAAATAAACTTGCCTTGCCTTGCCTTGCCTTGTAACCTGCCTGTATTTAAAAATGTGCCATTTCACTGGAAGCTACTCCATCCCCATCTTCATCTCCTGACTCGCACCATTTCTTCTTTAAAATTAACTTGATGAACCATAAGTGAGTCTATGGCAAACTAATCTAAAACGATTCATATGATATTGAGATCAGCAAAAAAATTTTCATTTTGCTGAGCAAAACTTTTCATAAAAAATATTATGCTATTTCCAGTTAAACTATAAGAAAAATTGTTGAAATGTAGCCATCAGAATATATTATTCCTTTTGTTTTTTGCTTATCCTCATTGTCATTTCGACAGATATAGACCATAATTTTTTTTTTATCCATTTCAGCAACACTTGCAGTTGCAAAAACCTAAAACCAAAGGACAGTAAATATAAACCCCTTAAATATTTTACCTTAAAAATCAAAGGACAGAACAAGCTTAATTATCAAAATGCTACTCTGGTTTCAGGTCTGTTTAGTGTATTCCACAGCCCTACATTCAGTGACATCTCACATTAATGTCCCTACCAACCCTGAGCCTCCAGGGTTAACTGCTCAGTGATAACAACCCTGGTTTCATCCTACAGCCTCCATAATGGTTCCTCTCCATCCCTGGTGATTCATGAGCTGTCCAATCGTTGCATATCAAAGCGGCCCATTCCCAGCTGAAGGTAAACACGTGAGGCCGACAGAGCGCTACCCCCTCCCCTGGGCCAAGGCCGCACATCTCAGCCGAGGATGCTGGCCAAAGCCCGGTGCCTTCAGTGCATCCAGGCGGCTCCAAAAATAGAGATGATCATCACTTTGTTAACAGGAGCAATAAGAAACCCCTGACCTCAGTTAACCTCTGTCAGCAACCCTTTAAAACTGACGATTAATGTTTTCTGATACAAGCAGCTCTGCACAAAGAAGTCCATCGATAAGTTTAAGGTCTGATGACCTGTCAGCTATCAGCTTTTGAAGAACAGAGGTTCCCAATATTTATGTCCTGGATGTTTCCTTTTGTATCTCCTCATAATGTTAGCTCCCTCTAACTCTAACAATCAAACCTTCCAACTGCTCTGGCTTAATTATTTACGCATTTTATTTTGCTTGTTTAATGAGCAGAAAGATTAGCAGGTAACTTGCAGTTCATAAACTGCCAACAGAGGCAATTCTAGGATCAGAGGTTTAGGGGTGATCAAACATTTTCTATATTTTTAAAACTTGCTCAGTGGCTTTTGCCAATTGCTGACTCCATTATTCACTGATACTTCATATCTCAAAACTTGGGGCAAATACCCGACAAGCAAAGCCCAAACCAGCATTTTTTTTTCTTTGAAGAATTTTCCAAGCAGGGGGCTGCTCAGTGGAGCAGTGGGTAGCACTGCTGAAAGAAGGTTCTGGGTTCGGTTCCCGGACCAGGGTCTTTCTGCTTAGAGTTTGCATGTTCTTCCCGAGCATGCGTGGGTTCTCTCCAGGTACTCTGGCTTCCTCCCACAGTCCAAAAACTTGATTGTTAGGTTATTTGGCTTCTCTACAGTCCCCTTAGGTGTAAATGGTTGTTTGTCATGTTTGTCTCTGTGTTGCCCTGCGATGGACTGGCAACCTGTCCAGGGTGGACCCCGCCTCTCGCCTATAGACAGCTGGAGATAGGCACCAGCACCCCTTGTGACTCCACTCAGAATAAGCGTGCTAGAAAATAGATGGATGGAGGAATTTTCCAACCATTTAAAGCTTTTGATCCAAATTTCATGAAAGGCTCTTTTTCTGTGCGCCAAACTGTGGGAACTAGAACATTTCTAAATGTTTTTAAGACCTGTAGTCTTATCTGCTAAATAAAAATGCAGATGTTGAGATCCTTTGGCCTGGTTGCTGCCATGCTGCTATCTCTGCATATCCTTTCCCTCTCTTTCTCTGCTCTGCTCTGTCTCATCTCCCTGTTCTGCTCTTTGTATAGTGAAATTAAGAAGGTATTAAAGCATATAGATAATTAGGAAAATGTATTAAAGATGTCTTGCTTAGATAGAATTCCACATGTGCTTCTGGAAAGCATTTAATATGCGCTGACATAACTTCCATCATATACAGTATGTAACATTATCTACTGAATGGAAGGTTTTTCTTTGTCAGTTTAACAACTGCTGCTTTGCCTGCCACTGTTCTGTGTGTTTTCTCACCTGTCTTTTCCTGACCTTGCACTATGCACACACCTTGTCTACCTCTTCATCTTTGGAGAATTCTATTTAAAGATGGATAATTACACTAGTGCTTGAAGGTTCAGACACACTTATATGTGTCTGAGTCAGAGTTGTGAATTGGCACTATATAAATAAACCAAATTAAATTGAATTATACTACTGACCAGAACTTTTACTGATCCATCCATCCATCCATCCATCCATCAAGAAGCTCCTGAGTTTGATTCCCGGCCTGTGGTCTTTCTGCATGGAGTTTGCATGTTCCCCCAATGCATGCTTGGGTTCTCTCTGGGTGGCTTCCTCCCACAGTCCAAAAGCATGAATGTTGGGTTAATTGGCATTTCTGGATTCTCCTTGGGAGAGAGTTTGTGAGTTTGTGTGCAGGGCTGTGTTGCCCTGTGATGGATTGGCGACCTGTCCAGGGTGGACCTCACCTCTCACCCATAAACTACCGGATAAAGTATTTCAATGAAAAGGAATATCCATCTATCTTCTCCAGGTTAATCTGTCAGGTCATGGTGGGGCTTGTGCCTGTATCCAGCAGTCCATGGGCGAGAGGCGGGTCCACCCTGGACAGGTCACCAGTCTGTCGCAGGGCTAGTTTTAATAGATTTAAATTAAAGATTTTTACACAAATATAGCCATGGTATTTATGCTGCAATGTATTCTAAGTACCTGGCATATGTTAGGTCGTGTAGCACTTGCTCTGTTCAGCCAAAAACAGCAATGGAGAAACTTTAAAACTTTTCATTTTGAACTGAAGTGAGTTGAAATTGAAGAAAATATAGAAATTAAAACAAACAATGAAGAAGAGACGGACCAAATGACAGGAAGACGGGAGAGTTGGCTGAAGACGCTGGTGCTAGGTGAAGCTGCCTCACATGGAGAGATTTACTAAC